GAGGGGGCTCAGGGCAGTGGTGCAGGGAGGGGTGCGTGCAGGAGGGGGCTCAGGGCAGGGGGTTGGGGTACAGGGGGGGTGCAAGTACAACAGGAGGCTCAGGGCAGGGGGTTGAGGTGCAGGCGGGGGGCTCAGGGCAGGGAGTTGCGATGCAGGGTTCATACTTACCTGGAGCGGCTCCGGGGTGGCAGTGGCATGCACCAGGGCCTGCCTGCCCTGTCCCTGTCCCCACGCCGCTCCGCTTGTATGTGGCCCCTGGGGGTAGGGGAGCAGAGGGCTCCATGCGCTGCCCTCGTGCTGCCCTCGCCTGTGGGTACCTCCCCTGATGCTTCCATTGACCACAGTTCCCACTTCCCAGAGCGGAGCAGGGCCCGCGGTGCCACTGGGGTGGCAATCCCGCGGGCCGGAACCAAAGCCCTGAGGGGCTAGATCCGGCCCACGGGCCACAGTTTTCCCACCCCTGAACTAACACAAATGTTTACCCTTTCAAGAAGCAAATGTTAATTATATAGCTGATTACTAATTCAAACCTGTAGGTCAAATCCTATGGTCCTTATTCAGTTCAAATTTCCCAGGGACTTCAGTGAGAGTGTTGATTAAGTAGGGACTACAGGATTTGGCCCTCTACCTACCTACCTATCTATCTATCTGTGGGAAAAGGTAAAAAAAAGTAAGTACATACACTTGCCTGTTTGTGCAAGCTGAGTTTATCAATTTCTGACAAAACCCAACCAACGCTTCCATCTCCACCACATACAAGAATCCGGAAATTGTCAAACTTCTGAAATAACCGCAAACTAAAGGGAAAATGCAGCTCGTTAGAATGCATGCCCATTAATGGATATTCAATGAAAATGCTTGTGTTTACAGGACATAGGTGCCTGCTTTTGCTTTTATGATAATAGGGATGTAGATAAGTCCAACTACTACACCATATATAACTTACACTTTTATCTGTTACAATATATTCTACCTACCCTATTTTCTGGGAAATAACATGCAGAATTTTAATGAAAAATTTCCCTTTAAGATCTCATGCACAGTTTTCAGTTTTTTTAAAAATATGAGGTTTGTCAGAATACTGAGCCAAACAAGAGACCATGCGCTGAGAATGCCAATCAAAGTCAGATGTTTGAGGTACCATGGCAGTCAATGGGAGTTTTGCACCAGTAAAGGTTAAGTTATGACTGCAGTGTGTGGTCCAGAATGTGGATGGGGTGGACAGTCCAGTCCCCTGCCAACTTGTGACTTTTCTAAACCAAAGGAAAATTAATCACTATACATGACATGATGATCATCGGAATACAAGGCAAACAGAGCGAATATATTTCATACTGGATCTTCAAACAATGTCTTGTTTCTACTCATAGACTTTACCTGCCTCCAGTTCCTTCAGTTCTCCAAATTCTGCCAAGATACACAATACAATATTCTCCTTAGGTGATAAAGAAAAGGAGGACAGAGGAGACAGAGAACAAACGGAGAGGTGAGACTAAGAGGAAAGGAGAAGGAGACATGAAGAAAAAGAGATCAAAGAGGAGAGAGCAAGAATGGGAAAACTATGAGAAAATAAGGGGAGAAATACTAAAAAAAATACTGATTCTTTACATGATAAAAATAGGTCTGTGTATTTTTATGCATATTATTTTCCAGAACATGTATCATCTTAGCATTATTTCTAAAAGAAGCACATAATGTGAATGTCGGATTTTTGAAATGTTTATGACATTTCTAATGAAAATACTGAATCTTGTATAATAGGCAGATGTATATTCAAAACAAGACACAATATTACTTATCTCAAACAGTGTTTGGAATCACAAAGCTGATGCCAAAATGATATTTGCCACCCCAGGAACAGAAATAATCCTCTAGAAGTACACTGTACAGAGAATAAGATTTTGCCTTTCAAATAGCTGAAAACAGGAAATTATCAGCATCACCTGATAGACCAGGTGCCACAGACCCCAGTTTGGGAACCACTGCCCTAGTGAATCACCTCTCAACTCTAGTACTGTGTCAAGTATTTAAACCAAGGTGCTTTTGAGATACAACTTTACAAAAACTCCAGACTTTTAAAAAACTTAAGATACATTTTTCATACTTTCATATCTCAAAAATGGCTTGTCCAATTCAATTGAAGTTTCCTCTCTTTTTCCTCTGGCAAGAGACTGCATGTGAAATATTAGGTGGAAAGGATGTTTTCTAAGTTAAGTCTGGATCTAAATTAGGGTTATGCTGGAAAGTGAGTTACAAATATAGATTTAAATATAAATATAGATACACGCATTTTTCATTTGGGGGCATTTTTAATTTTTTATCATACAAACATAGTTCTGCGCATAAGTGCTGGAACTAGGGGTAGGTGGTGCGGTAGCACCCCCTGTCTTGAAGTGGTTTCTATTATATACTGGGTTTACAGTTTCGTTCAATGGTTCTCAGCACTCTCACTACACAAACTGTTGCAGCATCCCTGGTTCTGCATCTTTAAAAATGTAAAATCAATATATTCACTTGCTGTTACCTGACATGAATAGGACATTTAATCACAAAGCAATATTTGAGTGGAATGCGTTTAGGTCACAAACATTTGTATATAAATTTAGTATTTTATGAAAGCATTGACGTAGCTTGAAGTATGGCAATCACTGTGCAAGTTTCCCTCCTATATCTCTACCAATTTACTTAAACCTTGACTTGCATTACCTCTGCTATTTCAGTCCTGGCTTTGTCTCAAACAAAGACATGACAAATTTTGTGTAAAGCTCACAGAATAACTCATTTGCATTTGTGACCTAAACTGTAACCTGAATTTAGGTCTCCAGTGGTGAAAAGCTAATGTACTTAACCAACCACATGATTTCCTGTAGTATTTTCAAAGTGCCATTTGTGTCCAAAATTCTAAGGGCAAGTCTACACTACAGCGCTACATCGGGGCAGCTGCACTGATGCAGCAGCGCTGCTGTAGCATGTCTGGTGAAGATGCGATATGCGAATGGGAGAGCGTTCACCTGTCAGCATAATTACTCCACTACAGTGAGAAGCGGAAACTATGGCCTAGTCTTCACTTACCGGCTGGTCCGGCGGCACGCCATCGATGTTCTGGGATCGATTTATCGCGTCTGGTTAAGACGCGATAAATCAATCCCGGATCGATCCCGGAAGTGCTCACAGTCGGCGCCGGTACTCCAGCTCGCCGAGAGGAGTACACGGCGTCGACGGGGGAAGACTTCCGGCCGCGTCTGGACCGCGGTAAGTTCGGACTAAGGTACTTCGAATTCAGCTACGTTATTAACGTAGCTGAATTTGCGTACCTTAGTCCGAAGTCCGGACTAAGTGGGGACCAGGCCCAA